ACGCGCGCGATCTTCCAAACTTATCTTTGTTGATACAGATCGGTGTTCATAACCACCCTCCTTATTCTTTGGGCCTACAAGCTCACTCTGGATCCTACGAGCCATTAGAGGGACACGGGGTTCATGTACGGGACGATGCCCAAATGTTCTGCCATGCACATTTGAGTTTGGAGAGAGAATTCCGGAAACGGAGCTCAGGAGCATGATGCAGTATTACCCTGAGGTCGCATGAGAAGCTTTGATGCCCAGACGCGGTTATAGAGAAAAATAAGTTCCTAACAAACTTGTAGTATGTTTTAATTCTTGAGCCAATTCTGAATTGTGTCTTCCCTCATCGAATACAGCTTGTGATTGTATACTATTATGGGAGTCCTCTTTGAGGTTCAATTCGACGCGATCCGGAAGCAGAATGGTATAGTATACCAGGAAATCGGAAAGGGACCGTCCTGGCCTAATTTTTTTTTTTTGGACAAAGCGAGTCTATTATATAGCCACTGACGTGTCTAGTTCTATATAAACACTTATAGCAGTACCTAAATGGGGTACCAGTCTGAGGGGAAAATGCTCTCATGCACTCCCTACCTGTGGTAGGGGTGTGTGGGGACTCCATGAACTTCCTAGGTTGCCTTGGTCTGCGGGGGCCGGGGAAGCTTAATACCCACTAAAACCTTGAGAGATGTCACCCAGTTTTTGGGGAGGGAGGGCTCTTGCAATATTTGTCATTCCATCCATGTGGATTGGATTAAATTTGTGAATTTAGTGTGTTTTTCTGGCTAATGTTCAGTTGTAGTCTGTTATTGATTGTCCTAAGCCACCTTTCATTATTTGCTCTTTGTTGTGGGATATGCCTTGTATGTCATGTTTGCATCTCAGAACCCATATTAGGTATCATAATGGTGCTCACGCCCCAAGCCCCCGACTCCTTTTTCACACACGTTCTTCCTCCAGTCATCACCTTGCCCGTCAATCTCGATTCATCTCTATCACTCATTTAACTGTGCAAACTGTTCTAGCTTATACAGTTTCATACATTGTTTCATTAATCCCTCCCTTCTTAATCCCAGAAAGTCAACTCTGTCATGCACCTTGTGCATTGTTAGTTTTGCTTTATAATCCTGCTTATCTGTGGGATGCCGTCTCCCTCACAATCCATCAAGTCATCTTTCATCCACCGGGTGTGTTTAACTACCAAGACATTGCTGATGACGTCATCTTCATTCATTGTGATCCTGTCTATCTTCTGAATCAGTGTGTTAGGAGCTCCATATAATAACGGATGCTCCCGGAAAAATGTGTAGCCTGGGGGTGTTCTCCCTTGTGGCATATTTGCGATCATGTTGTATGTCTTATGGTAAAGACCTTTCAAGCTGAGGAGGTTGTCCAGTCCCAGCTGGTCGACCCAGTGTGTCACATCCAGTTGGCAAATATCTACGAGACAGTCCACACCATCTCACAGCGGTATAGACACCAGGTGGGCCTCATTTGCCCCAGTAGCATATAGCACACCCTGCAATATGCCTTGGTATTCCTGTCGCCCTCATATGTCAGACAAATCCCCGCTCTTGTCAGTGTGACCTTGTCATTCACTCACAGGCCAGTGTTGTGTGATCCGTGCCTCTTGCACCTGAATCTCTGTGATCACTGATGGAGTAGGCTGTGGCGTCAGTTTCATCAACCGTGGGTTGTTCTTTGGGTTGTAAGTGCAGAAATCATTCTGGTAATGCGCTGCCAATCGCCACAGCATCTGCAAGCGCTTGATAACAGGTTTAATTGCAAATCTGCTGTCCCACTGCAACACCAACACTTCTTCTCCAAGGTTCCCTACATTTCGCCAGAGTGACGGGCATTCCTTGCCACACTCCTCACACAGGAAGTTAGTTGTTCTTTCCACAGTGAAATTGTCCTTCGCCATACAACCAACATTCATGTCCTTCTGCACACTGCCCACTCCTGCCCTTCAATTGTTTGCAATTTGCCTTGTCGGAAGTTTTTGTACGGCATTTTAATCTATTAAAATGGCCTAACGATGCAGGCTTATTATAACCCATTGTTATATAATAGTCAGCATTTTAATGATGTCGCATCATTTTCATGGGCAATGTAATGCACATTTTAATGGTGTCTACCTAGTTGTAATACCCATTTTAATGGGTGTCTTAATGCTTATTTTCATAATGTCTACATTATCCTGATACACATTTTAATGATAATTTTAATGTTCTTTTCAATGCCAAATTTTGCATTGGAAGATTCCAATGAGCATTAAAACGTTAAACATCAATTATTATTATGGATCAACATTGTATAGAATTACAATCAGTCTCAAGTAAAAAATGGATTTACGGAGCAACAAACAATACCCACATAGAGCTCATCAGATACCAGAGACAGACACGAGAGAAACACATGCCTCCCTGTCCCGTGATGGAGTCACTTCGACGACATGAAGACATGTTGGGCATTGTGAGGGTTCAATTTCCTTGTTGGTGACATTCAGAGCAGAAGCGTGAGGACAGGAGATCCATGAAGGCATTTGGACGTGAGCGTGAAGGCGTTACAATGAGGTTCAATGTCTTCAGTGTTGAGTTGAGAGCGAGGGAAAAGTGAGGATAGGCTGAGTGAGGAGGGCATGTAGATGTAACCGCAAAGGCGTAGAGGGTTGTTGAAGTTCGTTTGGTGCATCATTTGCAGGTGGAGAGCGGTGAATGAGTGACAACAGACGAGCGAAGAGTACATGTGGATCCAATCCTGAAAGTGTTGGGGTTGTGAAAGTTTGTTTGGATCAGCATTTTCCGGTCAAAAGTGGTGGAGGAGTGAGGCCAGGTGGGTGAGGAGTGCACTTGCAGAGGAATGAGGATGGACACCACCAATTGGAGACGACTGAGAGCAGAGATCAGGACAAGAACCAAGTAGCAGAAATGATTATGATGGGCTTCCGTCTGTCGCAAATTTTCTGCAACCATTGAAATTTGAGCGACAAACGAGCTGTTGACCTTGGCAAGGGTCTAATCAATGTCTGGAACCAAGAGAAAAAAAATACCCACCACATGCTGCCGCAAAACTCCAATAGAGCAGAGTCACTCCTGAGATGGAATTTGTGAGCAGCAATTCAGAAGGAATCTAAATACAGTCGAACTTAGACTCACAGGTATGTTACAGTATATGTTGAGCGACAGCAACATTTAAAATCAGGGTGTTGGTTTCACTGCAAGTCATTGTAAGAGTAAGAAGGCAATGAGAAAAGATGGCACTGTCATTATAATATCCTTAGTAAGCATGATAATCACGTGATTAAGTCAATTGGGATGGCGCACATCGAATTATAATATCATACAAATGGCCAAGGACGATGCAAGGCTCAAGCAGACTTGAGTGAGGCCATCACCAGTCTTGATGGCATCAAGCTTGAGAAGGCCATCCAAATCATTCATGAGGGCATTCCCAAAATTCGTGTTCAGTGAGTCAATCCTGTACTATGATCATGTTGATAGTAAGTGACAACTCACGCAGAGTATACCAAGGAGATCGAACTTGAAATCGACATACTACCACCACACGTTCTCACAAAGTTGTACAACTTTGTGCTTCGGCCTCTGCGGCATACCAACACAGGAAATGGCAAGGGCATGGGTACTGGTGGCCTTAAACAGAAGGGCATGGATGAGACCACTGAAGCTGAGAAGATCCACAAGCTGGGGGAGTGAATGTGACTCTTTGAAGGTAAGAACTTAGCCACACCCAACTCTGCACCTGTGCTAGCTCATCAGAACGATAGTGATCATTCATCAGACTCTTCTTCAGACGACAGCTCGGGCAACAAGTTGCAGTAATTCATCTTCCCTGCCTTGCGATGTCGCTTATCGTATTCTTTGCACAGCTTCGTTGGATTGTTGGTAGAGTTTTTGAATTCCTCTTTGAAGCACCCCCAGCCAATTGTTCTCCTTCACAAGTGCTTGTCACTGCGAATCTGGTGTTGATGGACATGTGATACAAGGCGGGTATTTATTTACATTTACAACACTGGTATCGTGTAGGGAGCTAGATTTTAGATACTAAGGAAGCTCTAATGATATAATGACAGCTATCATTTTGCAATGGTACCAGTATTGCAAGAAGAGCGGCGAACATCAGCATCACCGACAGCGGCCTTGGTCCTCTTCCTGACTGCCTTCTTTTGCGTTTTGGCACTGGTACCAGTGTCGGCTGCTGCAAGTACACCCTCAGGAGTTGCTTCAACACTTTGAATGTTGACTGATGCAGCAGCTGCATGTGGTACCGCGGTCACAGGGAGACTCTTCGGAGTTGGGCTAGATATTGATTCAGACACAGAAGGTTCAGATATTGCAACATCATTGTGAACTATCGGGGCTGGAGTACTGTGGACAGTCTGAGATACTGCAGGTGTAGGGGGAAGTGAAATGGGAGGAGATTTGTGGTGTGTCTCGGTTTTGGTGCTAGGTTCAGCGTCATACAATGATGCGCCATCTGAATCACTTTCAGCATCAAGTGCGGCCATGACTCAATCAAGCGAATCAGTGATATCCTCTACTGCAGGTGTCCAGAGTACAATCTGGCTGTGTCTTGGTAGCGCCGTCAAAAATATAATCATTGATTTGCTGCACAATATTCTTGATGCATTCGCGTCCCCATTTGACAACAAAGAATTTCTTGACAGTTCGGAAGACAGAGTGATACAAGATCGATGATATGGCTCCAGTGCCATCACCCGAGAATTCTTGATCAGGGGACAGGATAAAGATGATCTACTAGCATGATAAGAGCCTACTCAGAGCATATTAAAGTAATGAAACCTTACTGATGTGACACCAAAGGCAATTAGGCCTGGAGTGCAGCTTGTGAGCTGCCAAATCTTGGCATAGGGAGGCAGGGCACCACGTGCCTTTGGAAACAATGACATTTTGCCGCAGACCACAACCTTAACAACCTTGAGAACAAAATATAAGTAACCATGGACACTTTCTGACTAGCCCTCACCTTTGCAAGCACCATCCAATTTTTGAACACTCTCTACTCATTGATGACATTATCGGGGTAGAGTATTGGCACCTTGAAAACATTGAACACCTTCCCCTTGCCTGCTTCCCATCTGATGAGGTCTGTGACCTGCGGGACAGACTTACAGTCATACTTCGACATAAAATACTCGTTTGGCATGTTGAATATGCTACCTGCCACTGAATGTAGCCCATTGATGAATGACAATTGAGCTTGGTGCATTCTGGTTCCAAACTGCGTGAGGCTTCATAAGCTGGATTGATTTCAAAAAGGTAAAATTAGTACGAACCTGGTTATAGAAGGCATTTGTTCGCATCGGTGTAACACAAAATCAATGGACATGTAGAGCTCCGTTACGAGTGTGTCCTTCTCTGTTGATTTCTTCACATAGCGATTTGGACTAGAGATATCAGCTGGAGGATCAGGACAATCGCTCTGAAAATTGACTTTGTCGGAAAGGAACATTTCCGTAGTTATCATGTACGTCTTTGCCAAGCTGAGAATGAGCTTGTCAATGTCACTGGCCTTATATGAAGCTGACGTAGCTGACGTAGCCAAAGGAGCAGACAGTGTAGTAGGCGATGCAGCAGACAAACTGGATGATGGCTGGGATGCCAAAGATAGTGTATTGGAGGATGGGGCCTTGAGAGGGTGCTTGCGAGAGCGTTTCAGCTGGTGCACATTGAGTACATTGTTACTCTCATTCAGAGCTACATTGCGCTGCTCCAGCTTTCCATGCTGAAGCTGAAGGTACTTGATATACTAGATGAAATATGTCAGAATGTCAGTGGAATGATCGTGATAAACGGAGTCTACCTCTTGGTAATGTTCCACAGAAGCGCCTTCGGCTGGTGGAGCGACACGCTGGTCACAATCGTCTTCATCTGCCGAGTCTAGATACAAGCCTGAATGCCCCGATGATCTTGAAAGGTTCAAATCAGATTCGTCAGACATCTGTCAGCGATAGAACAGCAGATTCAGAGTATGCGAAACAGAAGAGACTTGAAAGCAGGGCTCACAGGACAAGTCAACACTCTTGCCTGATATTTTATACATTTCACCATGTTGGGTGCATGAAATAGTGTGTTTTATAGTCACGTCTGAACATCAAAGTGCGATAGAAGCGAGGCCTTGATGCAATCATATATCAGTGTGATTTGATGCTAATGCTTACCTGGATGTCAAGTCCAGTCATTCAATGGGGCTATGGGCCATTGAGGCCATGTCCTGAAGTTGGTGAAGTATGTTAGACCGAACAGATACACGATAAAGACGACTAATTACTGCAGCATGATGCATGTATTATGCAGTTACTGAGTATAATAACACATGTTGTGAGTCTTGGTCAGATCAGATGACATCGATGAAATAAAATTACTTATGTTTGTATTGCAAACGATTGATTCAACGTAATGATGGAAACAGAGTGCATTTGTAGGCTGGTTTGAAGACAAGTTTGAGGTTAGGTGCCTGGCAGATGCATTAGCTGCAGGACATTGATGGCTGTCAGAACCTGAGCGGATAGATAAAAACGGGGTACATACCAAGGTGAATGTAAATTTGGAGGCTTGTGTGGAGGAGGGAGGTACATACATACACCAAGAATACGGTCAACTTGTGCAATGAGTGTGCAGTGTGTAGAAGTGGTCACCACACATTAGGGCAAATGCATCAGAGAGAATGGCATGGGAGATGGTGTACCCTGCAATACACGGTGTGGTAACGAGTGAACTGAGGGTGTGGTAAGTAATGGCCTGAACAAATACTAAGTTCAAGCACTAACTCACCTAGTAAAGTTAACTGTGCCCAATGGACTTGCTCCAAGTCAAGTAAAAATCTCTTGCAGTCCAATACCATAACTGCCTGATCCCAGTCATACAGCAGCCATAGTGAGCAGAACGGTCTGAGCATTGCAAATGGAGAAGGATGGGCAGGTAGTATGGGACCATGTACAGCAGCCATAGTGAGCAGAATGGGCGGGATGATGGTGTAACGAAGGTTGATGGTGCAATTGCCGTCATCGGTTGCCCGATCTAGCACTGCAGGTATATGCGAATATGACGAGTGGCTACTACAGACTGACCAAGGGTGCGGGATGATAGCCCATTCTGGAATGGGGCACACTCTGAGCATTGCGAAATGGTCAGCAACATTGTGGTTGGGGCTCAGGTTAGCCTTGATACCCATGATCTCATGGAGACGTATGATCAGAGGTGTTCCATGAGCACCGAAGCTCGCAGCACGATGGGAGGTCCTGGAGAGAACACGTGAATTCTAGCACAAGATAAGATATGATGGTCACTAACGTGCCCTGGAGCCAACTGGCAGGATCAGATTCCTTGAATGATTCCTTGGTAGGACCTTCTGTCTCGCGTACAAGGCTGCAAGGAACCATAAGCAATAGCACCATCAGTAGGTACCAAGATCACTCACACCCCGAATGTCCATTGCTGAAGATCCTGCTCCTTCTTTGTGAGCTCAGCTTCTTTTGAATAAGAGTCCTTCAAGGTGATATCCTCTGGGTCCTTGCCAGGGAATAGCACTTTGAACTGGAGCTTGATCCACTCCTCATCCTCGGCAGATTCAGAGGTCATCGCGTGCCATCTGTACAAGCAGTTGAATTCAACACTGCAAGCATTGCCACGACCACGCTCAAAGACCGCATGATCCTCATCACGAAGTTCATCAAACGGCTCCAAACTCTAGCTGGAGCCTTGTCAGGCGAGGCCCAGAATGGCAGAGAAGTAGTCGGAGAAGATAACAGCTGTGAACCATGCACAGGTCATGTTGATGTGTTGCTTGCCAGGAGTATGATCCAAGCAGAATACACTGTGAATGACGAGTGCTGCAAAGGAGAACATGAGGGCGGACATGCCCTGGGGATGTAGGGTAAACTAGAAAAGAAGCTGGGTAAGAGATTGAAGGAGATGGAGTTGATCATGGCAGAAATAGGCTGAATTCGAGGGGATCATGCAAACGTGAATGCTTTAAAAATGTAATTATGATTATTATGCTTGAAGAGACTTAACACAAAGGAACATGTCCGTATCCACGGTGTGAATAACAAAGTAATCTTCATCTGTCTCCAGATCTTTGGCGAGTGCAGCACCTCAGATAATCGACTGGACCGAAATGATCTCGGATGATGAACAGGGTTTGGCACGTACACACCACAAGCCCAGATCAACATCCCACCTTCGACGAACACCAATACCAACATCATAAGGATGGATAATGGCCAGATGAAGGTCAGCATCACCAATTGAGCAACCAAACAAGTATACAAGGTGAGCAATGAATGGTTTGCCAGCAGTTTTCACAATCACACAATCAAACCTCGGCGATCCATAAAATGATGGGCTGCACCAAAGTAAGTCTTGGCGCATGCGCCAATCAACCATGGACTCGTAATTCACTCGCAGAAATCGGAACTCCGTAATCTATCAAAAATATCATTGAGAATGATCAATTGCAGGGTCAAATAAAGCAATAGCAGGACATACCTGATCCTCGGCTTGGAGATGAAGGACCCTTCCTGGACCGTCTGGCAAGGGAATACCATTCTGCGGCAGGAACACATTAAGAAAGCCATTTAGCTTTTTTCTGAAGTCGGTGAAGGCTCTGTCAGAGCCATGTGTGCATGTGATGTCTGAAAAAGAATGTTGGTCCTGCTTTGAACCCAAGTGCACATGCGTGACAGGATCCGGTTCCAAACACACTGGCAGAGGCTTGTTTGTCTCTGGGTCAGTGGTAGTCATTCGAACATGCTCATCGAGCTCAGTGCGCATTGATGTTGAAGTAAGAAGCCAATGGTCATAGTGTAGGATCTGTAGCTACTATGTCAGTAAAATTTTAGACTTCATTGTAATGTGACGAACCTGAGGAGCCACATCCTTGAAGTTTGTCCATTGAAGGTAAATTTTTCGTCAAGTGCCATGCATCTTCTCATTGGGCTTAGTGTTGTAGTTACGTGTTGCACCTTTAGCCAAGATGTTCGTCGAATATGTGCGTGATCATGTGCTTCTTCGGAAAGTTCCAGTTTTTGCTCGTCTCAGGTTCCAACTCAGTAATATATTCCTATCGAGACGTTAATCAGAGGATATACTCAATGATCAATCCGATTAACTCACGTCCATCAATTCTGAGAACTTATCCAGGGTTGCCCTTCCAGCCGCAATTGTCTCCTCAGTGTGAACTTCCAACAAAGCATATATGTTGAGCTCGATATAGTACCGGACGCAGTGCAAAAGTAGATATCCTAGCTTGGACTGCAAATAGCATAGGATGTCTTGTGCTGTAAAGAGAATGAGCTTTAGTTTAAAGTTCATATTAGTACCAAATAAATCATGTTCAATGTTTGCGCTCGTACCTTTGATATATTCTTGTAGAACGAGCCATTGTTGAAATTGACTGATACGATGGCTTTAAAGTGTGTGAGGTTAGGCCATTGTGGGAGAGCATCAAAGCTAGGGCGGCAGTAGTCAGTACCACAATGAAATCACATAACAACATTGAACTTAATAAGATCACATACTTCGCATCGAGTTTGACAGCAGCTTCCTGTCCAATATCAGAAATCCAGAATAGGATGTCCTTCCACAGGTGGTCCTCCCATAACCCTTCATGATTCATATGCAGGCGGTCAACAGAAAGCGCCAGATGAACATCTGCAAGAAAAATATTCCAGAATACATTCTTTTAATGTAACAAAATCAGCCAGTCTGTAAGCGGCGGTACAGCAACACATACCTCAACATTTCAGAGTGAATAAGCCTTTAGATCCTCTTCCTGTTCCATTTCTGTACGCTTTGCTCTTGCTGCGTGAAGGACATGTTGGGAATTGCAAGTCGTGCGCAAAGCGAAGACACAATTGGCTGACTGCTCATCCTATGGCACTAGACAGACTGGGCAAGGAAATTTGCCTTTCAGACCGCGAATCAATGCCATGACACATCTGTTACAGTAGATAAGCCTTGTAGTAGAGCAGTAAACTAACTGGTACTTACTGTTCTTCATAATCCCCGCTTAGGATCAGTATCAAGGGCCAGAGACAGTGTTGAATCTGATCCCTGCATTCAAACCAGTAGCTGGTTTTTGAATGCAGCTCAATTGACCAGAGGATTTGGTAGAATGACTTATGCCACACCACATTTTTGAAGTCTACAAAACTCTTCTTTCTGGTATGTTTTTGATCCTCGGTGACCTAGTAAAATAGTCAGTAACGACACTAGTAGCAACACTTATTGTTAGATACTAACAATCAGCAACCAGCCGACAACACGACCTCCTCCTAGGGCTGTGTTGCCGTTACGAATGTGAATGGGAAGGTTCGCGATATGGGCAATAATCGGATAGCCTTTGGCAGTCCCAAAAGAAGATAGTTTTGTTTTTGTCAGCATATAGAATGAATGCGAGTGGCTTTGCATCCAGCAGAAGTTGAGACTACACTAGTGATGAAACACGATAGACTAAGGAGATCCTACAAGACATACCTGTGCATTCCAGAAGGCGTCGGCAGTCCATGGTTCATCTATAAAGCGGACACATTTTTCGCCATTAAATTTGGAAAGACATTGTGCATCAAATACAAAGTGGCATGCAAGACAGATGTCTTGCAATAGATCAAGCGCCCAGTCCCAGAGGGGGCGATAGTGCATTTCAAACTAGTGTGTCTCATTGTGGTGCTCAACAGATACTACATCCTTTTGAAACTAGTGTACACTAAGCATTAATCAGCGCTGAGAAATACACAAAATGAAAACAATCACCAGTGTATAATGCTGCGAAGCCATTTCCCATAGCGAGCGAACCTCATTGTGACTCTGCAATGTAAATGTGTCTGTGCCGCTGTGTCATATACCATATATCCGGTTGCAGATCTGATGATCCGGATCTCAGATCCAATCCAGATCCGATGAACATATCCGTCGTCCGGTCCACAGATCCGCTTTGATTCTTATTTCATTTCCTGTTCATATAACTCTAACTATCGTTCATCTCCTTTCAGTATTCCTGTACACCGGTATACCGGTTATCCTTTACTTCCGCTTTGCTTACTGATCCGCTACACTTACGAATCCGCTTTTACTTGTACTTCATTCCCGGTTCATGATTCGTGATCCATCCGACTTACCAATACGCTCCACTTAGACTTTGCTTATACTTTCGTACATAGCCTCGCACCTTTGCTTATTGATCATTCCATTAGCTATCCGTAGTATATAAACCTTTGTATATGCGCTGTAGTAGATCAGTTCGAATATCATCTTAGATTGCACTCATTCTGTCTGGACTCTAAGTCCCTCCGTTATCCGTCCGGACTTGAGTACACTACTCTTGTCTACTCCGAGACTTAGGATAGATTCCTATAGTCTACATATCCGCCTCTGTCTTCGGACAGTCCTCACCCATTAGTTTCTAGTCCGGACCCGATCCGGATTAGCCGTTACTCTATACGTTCGATATCCGGAAGTCTTAACGGATCCGTTGCAATACTTATCCGTTGTGATACAAGTCTTATCCGTTACAATACTTATCCGTCTCACTAGACCCGATACTTTAGCTCTCTGAAATAAGGGGCAAGACTCGGGAAAGGGGCACAGCGCACGAGCTGAGGCCGAAGCCCTTCGGATCCGATACTACTTGAGTACGGTCTTAACACGCTGGCAGATTGATGAACGAGGTCAAGCAAGCAGTTTGTCTGCTCTTTTGTCAGCGCGATCTCTGCGACTTCGTAATCCAGTCGCATCCAGAAGGGCTCCCAAGGTGAGTTGTTATAAGGTACCTGACCCTCTGGAGGGTGACTGCAGGAAAATTCAGAAAAGTGGTGTATAGTCGAAGGTTGTTTGCTGTGCGGATGGTACTTGACTTTGATGTCATCGAGTTCATAAGGGGGCTCATTGGGATGATTGAGGTCAGGGACATTGGGTAATGTAGCAGGGTCAAAGTCAATTGATTTGCGTCTATGCGGTGACGACCCTTGCATGTCTGATGTAGATGGAATGTAATCAGTACAACAAATTCAAAGAATGAGGAAATAATACCAATTTCGTTCTCTATACCCTTGGTTTCTACCACACCGCCTTCATCTTGTGCTGCCCAGATCGCAACAGGGTTTACTACATAGTTATATCAGAACAAAAAGAAGATCACTGGAAGTGGTGTACTGTCATATACCATATTCCCGGGTACAGATCCGAAGATCCGGATCTCAGATCCGATCCAGATCTGATGGACATATCCATCATCCGGTCCACAGATCTGATCTAACCCTTGTTTCATATCCTGTTCATATAACTCTAACTATTGTTCATCTCCTTTCGGCATTCCTGTACACCGGTATACCGGTTATCCTTTACTTCCGTTATGCTTACTGATCTGCTACACTTACTGATCTGCTTTAGCTTAGACTTCATTCCCGGTTATGATATGTTATCCGTCCGACCTACCAATATGCTGTACACATACTTTGCTTATACTTCGTACATAGCCTCGCACCTTTGCTTATCGATCATTCTGTTAGTTATCCGTAGTATATAAACCCTTGTACATGCACTGTAGTAGATCAGTTCGAATATCATCTTAGATTGCACTCATTCTGTCTGGACTCTAAGCACATATTGCAGTAACATATCTCCGTATTATACGAGTGGACGGACGTGCATAATATCCCGTATGATACAGGGCCAGCGGACCATGGGCCGAGGGTAGATATATCCTCGACTGTGACGGATGGGCCGGGAGTGTTATTATTCCCGATGGAGACGGGTGGGCCCAGGTGGGGAATATGTAAAGTAGATGGGTGGGCCGATGGACATGAATTTTCAATAGACGGATCAGCCGAGGTAGTTGGATATTATGTAGATGGGTGTACCAAGGTAGATATGTATCAAATAGCCGGGTATATCAAGGGTGCTTGTTATCACATAGACAGGTGGGCCCAGATATATATCATATTAGACGGGTGGGCCGACGAATTAATATTATTTTGTAGACGGGTGGGCCGAGGGAGTGGTAAAAGATGTATTATATACAGGTGGGCCGACGGGAGACATATATTGCATAGATGGGTAGGCCGACGTGGGGGTATATAAGATAGACGGGTGGGCCCAGGAGAATGATAATTGTAGACATGATGGAGCTCAGCTAGTTGTATATCATCCAAATCAAAGGAGGTGATTATTCAAAGTCATCTAATGATGTGGTATGGCACGGAGCTTTGCAAAGGGGTGAAGTGGAAACTCGAGCGAAGTGTACCGAGTTCCAAGACCCGGGTCTCGACAAACAAATATGTGATGTCCAGCACACTTCCGATCATCTGGTATCTCATTGAGCAATGGATGATAATAGATCTTTGAAAGCCAACATCATCCAAGCCTACCAAATGCCAAATGCCAAGTTCCGACCACCGAAAATTGAGTGAAGTGTACCAATATCTGAGCCCCAACTATCGAATCCCGAAAATCGACCATCGAGTCCCGACTATCGAGTCCCGACTACCGAGTCATGAAACCCGACGCCTGACCATTGAATCCCGACAATCGAGTATCGAGTCCCGACCAACGAGTCCCGTATATCGAGTCCTGACCATCGAGACCCGAGACCCCGAGACCCGAGATTCGAGACAAGTTCCAACTATGGTGTCCCGGGTATCAAAATCGAGTGAAGTGTACCGAGATCCGAGGCCCGGGTCTCGACAAACGAGTATCTGACATCCAACAGACTTCCAATCATGTGGTATTTCATTGAGCAATAGATGATAAGAGAAATAGATCTTTGAAAGCTCAGATCATCCAAGGCTCCCTTATCTGATCCTCTCAATCTCCACCCCCTTTAACACCAAAGTGCGGACATTCAGGATTCAGCTTCTGATCTCACAAGATCAATTCAATCATGGATGTTTCTTCCACTTCCGATGATGAAATAACCCTCTTGCGCACTTGGGCCCTGACTGTCACTCATGTGGCATGTGATTATACGGAACAGAAATTCAATGCAGAGAAGACAGGAGGAGACCCAGTTATACCTTCTCCAAACCTAGACACTGATCTGGTGATGGCTTGTGATCAATTGGTTGATCGGCTCATAAAGGCATATAAAAATCCCAGTGAGTCTTCCTGCAGATTCGGAAAATTCGTTTTATCAGTCAAATTGCTTCATCACAGTTCAGATGCCGATTGATATTGCAAGATATAGCAAATTGATCTCCCCAAAGGACACGGGGCGTAATGAAGAGAGAGAGGAAAAGTTGCTTGAGAGGTGTCCTCCTGGCCATGAGGGCACAAAGTTGATCGACATACCCGCAACAATTCTTGATGCATCCGGTGCCATCATCGCATGGTACCTCCCAGACGCCTTGACCGATGCCACCCAGGTGTGTTATATATATTGTGACTGGATGGATATTGAACATCAAATGGTACGTACAGAATGAAATTTGGGCGGCCTCGGATTTGCTAGCTCCCATGCTCGAACAAAGCATAAAGCTCGATGGGATTTGGCGGACTAATCAACAGTGGTTCACACCAAGCTCGGAAAATGATGTCCTAACTCCCGGATGCGTTAATTTATCTCCGGCATGGTTTCAGCAGGGGCACGAGGTAGGATCTGATGAGATGGCGATCTCGGTAGTTAAACTCACCAATCCCATAGAATCAGTCCGATCCGGAGGTATCTGCATCATTGAAGGGACCATCCTCCGAGAACATCCTCAAAGCCATTGCGAGGCCAGCAGCCATTGCCACAGCGGCACTCAGGGTGATGCATCCTGAGCAGTACTGGGCAGGGTTGCAAGCCTTTGCGAGCCTCGGAGAAAAGGCACGAAGCAAGGAACTGCCGAAGATGTCAGAGACTCTCCAGTACTGGGCAACAGGTGTTTAACAGCCTCACCGTCATATGCAATCGGGGAAACCCCGAATCATCGAGACCCCTCATCGATTTCCGAATGCTTCGATATTCTCACTAGCGTGGGGAATTATTCTAATGCTCGGATGAGTATGCCAAGCCTGCAGCTGGAGTTAAGGTACGATCCGGGGTGCATGATTGCATTTTCAGGAAGGATTGTCAGACACGCGGTTCATGCAGTGGAAGGGGATCGGATTGCCTGGGCATGGTATATGAGGGATGCTGTTCATGTTTATGCTGGGATTCCGTCGTGTGGATGGGCAAGGTTGGATTGGAAGAAGTAGAAAGGTAGTTACCCGTGTTAGTACCCACCTTCAAATACATGATACTAGATGTCAGGCACTCCATACTCAACATTCGGGTTTCGGGTCTTGATAGTCGGGACTCGATATTCGATTTCACCGACTACCGAGTACCGGGTTTCGGGTTTCGGTACACGGTACCCGGTACTTGATAGTCGGGACTCGATATTCGATTTCACCGACTACCGAGTACCGGGTTTCGGGGTTCGGTACACGGTACCCGGTACTCGGTGATTCAAGAAAACAACTCCCAAAATTGATGAGTGTCATGTTTTGAGTTTTGTTTCGATTTGTTTCGAGTGTCGAATCTCGGGCTTCGGGCTTCGTGTTTCGGGTCTCGATAATAGGGACTCGATACTCGATGGTCGGCACTCACATCTCGGGCTTCGGGAGTCGATTGTCGGGACTCGGGTTTCAAGACTCGGTAGTTGGGACTCGATAGTGCGGATTCGGGTTTCAAGACTCGGTACCCGGTACTCGGGTTTCGGTACTCGGTGATTCAAGAAAGTGTCGTGGTGTTTGGAGTTTTGATTTGTTTCGTGTCGAATCTCGGGCTTCGGGCTGCTTGGGTTTTGGGTCTCGATATTGGGGACTCGATACTCGATGGTCGGCACTCAAATCTCGGGCTTCGGGAGTCGATTGTCAGGACTCGGGTTTCAAGACTCGATTGTCGGGACTCGATGGTTGGGACTCGATGGTTGGGACTCGATAGTCGGGCTGTGGGACTCGATTGTCAGGACTCGGTGGGGACTCAAAACTCGCAACTCATAGCAATGTTCGAGTTTCAAGTCTCGTCTCGAATCTTGGGCTTCGGGACTGGATATCCGGGACTCTATGTTTGGGACTCAATATTTGGAACTCAAGATATCTGGATCTCTGATACTCGAAATATTGGGTATGCAGGACGCAGCATATAGCAATAGGTACAGATATTCGAAAGTCAGGATGACTGTCAGTACTTATTCATCATGTACATAATGTAGACTTCAACATTCTGAACTGAAGAACTAGAACTACTCTGATCCCCGTGGGTCAATTTGGTTAGGACGGCGGTGTACATCTGAATTCCCTGCCCATCTTTTCACACGGATCCAGCTTTGTTGATCCTCCAATCACTGTCAGGAGGCGTTCCTCATCCACCTCAGCCTGC